TTGTCTCACTTATGTCCTAGTTTCATTTCATCATTATTGAAAACATATATTTTAGCATTTGCAAAGACTATATAAATCAAGAGGAGAATTTGGTTGAGAAATTCGAAGAAAACAAGAAACTTCAAAGGTATACAAGCGATGATATAATTTCATTTGTTAAAATAATTTTTTTAAGGGTAAGTACGCCTTTTTTTAATTAGTATTCCTGGATTTTGATTGGTTACTAGGTAGTGTAATCCTGGTTTATCTTCTTTTATATGATGATTTCAAATATATTACCTCGCTCGCGTGGTATATGCACTGGGGTTTCTCTTTTTACTGTTTCTTTTTTTTTAATGTGCCCAAACGTCTATATATTTTTAGCCTGCACGAATAAGCTATTAACGATATGTGCAATTTATGAAGTGCAGCTGGTTTTTTTAAATTCATGTATAGGGGTTGTATTTACGAAAAAAAATCCTTGAACCTGATACAATTGTTCAATAATGAATTGGAGGATTTCTTCAGTTAGAAATGAGTTGTATATGAAATACAACTAACGTCATGTTGTATGGTATATTACATGTATTTCCATTGTACTCGACTATATTAAATTGTTTTTTACAAAACTACCTGGCATATATGTTGTAGGATATCGACTATGTGTTTATGTATTAGTTATAAATTTTGATTAAAAAAGGATCAAATAAAGACATTTAGTTTTGTTAGTTCTAAGAAAAAAAATTGCTGATAGATTTAATGAAACCTGTCAACGCCTTTAAATCTGATTGGTTATATATGTATGTTAACAACTGCATTAAAAAAAATAGAAAAAAGATATGATTTGTTCGAGTAAAAATATTCGCGAGAATTACAAACAAGTCGGGTTATTATCCAGATCCTTTTTTGAGAACACTCATACATTGACACAAAAAGTGAAAAATATAAAACAAAAACAAAACATAGATTGTAAGTTCCTGGGGGAACCCAAGAAACACTAACTTAACAAACCATTTGACAACATTAATGGGACCCTCAAAATTAGAACGGACACTTGAATTGTTGTATATTAGAATGGTAGCTAGGTTCAAAGTCTATATCCCGGATAACGTTAAAGAATATTTCAAACAGTAATTGATTAGAACAGATTTAATAATTCTACTAATGTTTTTGCTGACGTGATGTAATATGACTTCACATAAGTTTCTGGTTTTAGAAATTTGGATGAAAAAACAGCTGAACTAATAACTGTATCAACCGAAGTCGAAAGTTTGCTGATTTCCAATAAAGATATGAAAACTGAGTAAGTAATTAGCTATATATTCAAGATGAGGGTATTGGTTTTGGTTTGTGACCTGAATTTGCTTTCGCTTAATCGATTTATGACTATTGAACTGCAGTATACTTATGTTGCCTTTATTTAGCCCTCAGGATTAATATTACAAAAAGCAGTTTATTGACTGACAATGTTGTTTCATTTCAATTACATTAACAGTACTAATATTACATTTAATCTGCACAAGATGTGCATTTAGACAATAAATGTCATTAAATGATGCCCGATGCCAAATCCGGACAAGAAATCTGATCCTTGAATGAACAAAGTTCTTCTTCAATTTAAACCGATTTCCAGATTTTATATCAGCAAATTTCAATTAAACAATATCCATATTTTCATGCCAGTACTGACAATCCATCAGTAGAGGCGTCAACCCAGTGGCTGTATGATTATTAATGATAACAATTTTACTGCACTAGATGCAGTTTAAATTACATTTCTAGTTTTCATTGAGAAGCAAGATATATCGATGCTAGTGGACTACTAGAAACTGTTGGAAGCATCAAATCAGTAGTCAGTGCTTCGATACTGTCATGTTTACCCTTCTTAAGGATGTTGTGTGGTGAAATTAAACAAATCTGAAATTTAAAATTGATACTATAAATTAGAAGAGCACTAGTTGAGGAACAAAATGAGCTAAAAATATTGATAGGTTATATCTCTTTCGATTTATGAGTTTTGAACAGCGGTATACTACTGTTGCCTTTATTTATAGAACTCCTTTTCGAGATTTTAATTTTTTTTGTTTTAAATGGCGGGAAGAGGCTGCAATATTTGAGTCTCAAATTGTAAATAAGAAATTTAGAATTTGTTTAAAATTTGGTGATGACCTTTTAAGAAAATAAAAGTGGGTGATTTGGGTAAATATTTTACTCTGTATCGTTGAAAAACCCAAGGAGTCCGAAAATCTAACAAAAAATCCTATTCCTGAACTGACTACATCCTTGGTGCTAATTGATGAATTAAGAAATTATCAAAGTTTTCAACTACATAAGGCAAAGGTGTTCTAAGATTGCTTTTGCCAATTTTTTACGACCCATTTTATAATATAGCTCTTCATGTATTCAAATACTAATACACCGTTAGCGTTCAAAGTTTGGAGTATAAGCATTCCTGTTGTAGGTAAAAGCAGAAAATCACTTCGGAAGACATTTATAGAATATTATTTTCATTTTTTCAGCCATTTGTTTTGGATAATTTTCTTAATCATCTAATGTACATAAGACATTTTACCTTTGCCAATTCCAAATATGACAAATTCTACCAATGCTGGTCACTAGACCATGTTGACCATTAACAAGCAATCGATTTTGTTTTGGACTCATGGTTGGTGGTGTTAGTTTATCATATTTTCACTGACTAAAACTGTGTCTTTGGTCACTCAATGTTATCTCACGTAAACACCTTACAGTTGTCCTTTATTATTTCACCAGGTTCTAAAGCTGTAGTTTGAATTAGATCTTAATATCTCGCTGTAAACTTTCCTTACTTGAAAAAATCTTTGGGTAAATTGATTTATTTTACATAAATGTGATACGTGGTCTTATATGCCTCCATTATTGCATCCATTCGTCCACCAGTTTATATATTCTTTCTAGTTTACTTTCACTTTTAACTGTTTAGTACTACTCATAGTAAATGGTTTATAATTTTCATACATAAAAAAACATTTGGTAATGAATACCCAGCCTAAATGGAATGAGTACTCAGTAATAGGGATGCTGTAATAGGACTTCTGTACTATAAACATTGGATTTTGGAAACAAAATCTATCTCCGAATTATTCTTTAATCTATACAAATAAAAATATAACTGTGGGTTTCTTATCATAAAACTACATCTACCTGTGTATATGTCACTGTTTTATAGTTTATTATGTTTAATGTTAAAGGCCTAAAAATTTTCATTTGTTGACATTAGATTTACAGTAGCATTAAAAACCTTCGTCAGAATATTACATTTATATGAGAAGGATAAACAAACTCAAATCTGAAATACAATGACAGAGAAGGACAATAAATATAAATGTCTCAAAATGAAACAGTGTTTTTTAATTATGGTTGTATGGCAAGAACCCAACGACTAAATTACCATAAGACATATGGAGATCAACACAAAGTCTTGTTTGCAGAACAAATGTCATGTTAATATATGTAGACAATAGGTCCGGGGACACAGTTATCGTCTTTTGATTTCCGTTGTTAACAAAAATTGTCCCTAGTGTGAAAAGTGTATAACTTTCAATTTTTTTTCATACACCTTCTAAATTCATTTCTTTATATTTTATGCATAAAATAGTAATTAGGGCGTTATATTAACATATTAAAAAAAATTGGGGCATGAATTTTTAGGTAAAGTAGTGATTTGGTCCCATTTGAAAAGGTCAAAAATTAGTATTATGTCTGAAGCTGTCAATCTAAATTACAGACCCCCAATCCATAGAATTTTCCATATTTTGAGTTAAAATCGATAGACTTTTCTATAATTTTGATATAATTTGTTCCAAAAGAAGTACACTACACTTGGATTGAGCAGGTGCGATTTTTTGAATTTGCGTTTTTTTTTTTGTCTAAATGAAATGCACTACGCAATAACTGTGTTCTCGGGTCAATACCTATCAAATTATGAAACTTATTTCTTGTCTCATGAAGTTTAGTTATTAAATCTCCAAAACAAACATACATACTATCAAGCAAAACATTACGGACGTCTTTTCATTATTTCTTCTTTTTTTTTTTGTAAAACATTTATCGTAAAATGAGATAACAATGACTTTAACTGAAAAGTCTAAATGAAAGAGGAAAATTAGACAAAAGAAATCATTTCACTCAACGGAGGTAACCGGGCCTCCAAATAAACACTAAACATGTTAAAATTGTTTTACACGTTTATATCATTATTTACAGGCTTACAGGCTTTGAAACACTATTTGATAACCAGTTTTTAGCTCATAATAGATAAGTCAGAAAAAGCAAAATAGTTGTCAAAAAAATTACAAGACGCCGACATCTGCGGTTTAAAACGCCATATAAGTGTATATTTTGAGACGATCTGTATCACCTAATGTCCAAAAAAAGCACCGAATTAGTAATTGTTGACAGATGGTAATCCTTCCTTTAATCTCTAGGAGAATTTTAAATTATTTGTTATATCACTTATTCGAATGACGGGTGATGCATGCATAGCAGAATAGGTCTAAATATTCAAGCGACATTCAATGTATCCACCGCTCAGTATTGCTCTTATAACAGTTCATTTGATAACCTCAGGTTTCATTTTTATTTGAATTTTTTGGAATAAATTTAAAAGATTGATTTAAAATATTGTAACTTCATTGGTAAACTAATTTTGACTGTAATCTGCCATATTATTACCTCTCCCAGCAACTACATCTTTGTTTGTTGATTTGCTTGCTGAACTTAGATTGTTTATCAGTAAATATTGTTTTCGTAGAAAAATTCAACATAAAGTTACTTTTCATGTAAATGCAAAAAAACAACCATATCTATGTTTTAAGAGAATAAGCCAATCATCATTCAACATCAAGATTTGCATTTTGGATTGTCGATCACGACTTTACAACTTTAACGGTAATTTTATAAATGATGATATAATGGTCTTTTCTTCACACAATATTTACCTATTGCTATTGGAAAATGTCAAGGTATTCTGAAATGCATGTGCGAATAATTATCGAAAAACAAAAAACAATAATCAATATTGCTTTATTTCACAATATAAAAGGTATGCCAAGAAACAGGAGGAAAACAAAAACCTGAAAAAGGAAATCCATTCTCTAAGGGATAGGTATGTTAATATAGTATTTAAATTGAAAGATATGAATTTAGTTTTAAACCATTGTCGTGACGTCAGCCTATTCATTTACCGTGGATTCTCCGGGCTCATGGTTTCTTTTTCAAGAATCAACTCTTATTCATTGTGTCTACATTACGTAATACACTCCTCCCGCCAACTATATGATTATAATTACTTTAATTAGAATATTTTGTTTCAATCATAGTGATTTTTTTTCAAGGAACAATTTATCCCTCCATAAAACAAGATATTTGTATCTAAACTTTTTGATTTTATGAAACAAAGTAGGGCCATTTTTTTCTCCATTTTTCATTTAGTTTGGAATGGGGAAATAGAAAATTCAAATTTGTTTCTACTATTGCAAATGAAAGATTGAATATACTAGTATGCACATCTGATTTACGCCAGTACTAAAAGCATCTTGATAGTATCAGTTTCAGAGAATATTTTGTTTCAATCATAGTGATTTTTTTAACAAGGAACAATTTATCATTGGGTGTACAACTACCTTAATATTTGAGGAGTTTATGACCAAAATGAGACATATAAAGAATAGCTAAATCAATATAAAGCCAACTTTTGGTTTTGAGGTAGATTTAAACTTAGTTTCGTCAAAATTGCTTGATTTAACAACGGCCAATTTAGATAATGTTAGTCAGGAACTGGTCATAGTTAAACACTATGATTCACATAACAATTCTTTAAACTGATGTTATTTAGATGTTGATTGTTAAAATTCCTCACCTGACATTTTGTCGTTGGCTTCCGTCGTCGACCAGTCGTCTTGTTTGCTTTCTATCAGCTTTGTTTTTTTCCTTTATTTTTTTTTAACATAAGTTAGTTTTCTGCTTTGAATTGTTTAACATTTTTCATGTCGGATCATGTATAGCTTAATATGCTGTCTGGGTGATTTCATTGTTAACGGCCCTCTTGTTGACAGTTCCTACGTCATTTGTTCTCATGTGGAAAGTTGTTTCATTAGCAAACACAAACCATATCTTCTTGTTGTATCAGTATATATATTCCTTAACTTCACGTTCCGCTATATAGATGATGTCCTTTAATAATAACATGTAGTTCAAAGTTGGGTGACTTATGTTGACCGTTACTAGATCAGACCAGTTCAGATACAGTAAGATCTGCCGTATATATTTACCTACATCTAAAGGATTGATTGTGAAATGAGCTTTGCATAAAGAAGGATAATCTCAATTTTGCTATTGTGAACATTTATATGTAGAAGCATTCTACATTTTCTAGCACTAATTACATGAATGGAGTATTTATCTTCAATAGATATCGTTATTAATTATTATTTTCTTGACAGAAATTTGTCATTTAAAAGTAAATTAATATTATTGAAATAGAGGTTCCAAATAATAAGCAGTAGTTTGTCTATGTTCAATATCTATTAGTACAAATCCAGAGAAAACCACTTCAAGTAACAGTTGACTTCACAACGAAGAGATATAAATGGTTGCGTCGACACAGTAAAACATCTTGGTTAGCAAGCAGCCCACTCCTTCCATATTAAAACTCAGGCAATAATGTCATAAATAAGAAGTACATAATCAGTAACTTAACAAATGAGTGGACTTTTCAGGTATTGTAAGGTTAAAAGAATAAGTAACCATTTTGTTTTCAATTTTAGATTATAAGCTATGCTTGGACAGTAGAAGGCCGCTTCATCCAATGCTCTACTTAAATACTTGTATTATTATAGAATTTAATACTTTGTCAGTTCAAGAACTATTTGTAATATCAAATGATGAAAATTATTTTCATTGCAGTATTCTTAAGAGTAATCAGAAAAATTTCAAACCATGGACAGATCGATCTGGGAACAATATGCAATATCGGTGAGTTTATGTGCACCTTTATGTCGTAACTAAAATCCCGCCCCTTTTCCCGAATGTGACCTAATAAATTAGACTTATTACCGGGTTTGTTCTAACATGATCAATACAACGGGTGCCACATGAGGAGCAGGATCTGCTTACCCTTTCGGAGCACCTGAGATCACCCCCAGTTTTTGGTGGATTCGTGTTGTTCAGTCTTTAGTTTTCTATGTTGTATTTGATAGAGGATTGCTGCTCACAAGGAAGCTATTAAACCAAGAGTTCCAAATGGTGAAGTTGAAATCATCCCTTCGTAAATTTTACAGACGCCATCACGAGTTGGTTGACCGTTATGGAATAACCGTTTCACAGATGATATCGGATATGTTCCTTATGTCGTAACTACAATACCCTTCCCTTTTCACGAATGTGACCTACCGAACTAGACTATTTACCGGATTTGTAATAACATAAGCAACACGACGGGTGCTACATGTGGAGCAGGATCTGCTTACCATTCCGGAGCACCTGAGATCACCCCCAGATTTGGTGGGGTTCGTGTTGCTTAGTCTTTAGTTTTCTATGTTGTGTCATCTGTACTATTATTTGTCTGTTTGTCTTTTTATTTTTGGCCATGACGTTGTCAGTTTGTTTTCGATCTATGAGTTTGACTGTCCCTATGGTATCTTTAGTCCCTCTTTTGTGTACTTTTGTTTGTCGGTTGGTCTTTGTCTGTTTCAGCCATGGCGTTGTCAGCTTAGTTTCGACTTATGAGTTTGGATGTCCCTTAACTTTTTTTTTGGTTTCTTTCGCCTCTCTTTCAATCTAAGATATAGATGGTTAAAGCAATAACTCCTCTCCAACTGCTTTTATGTTTCGATATTAGTGTATCTGATCATTGTTTTATTTAGGAATGAGGGTCTATAAGTAAAATAAATCGGTAACTATAAAACTAAATCTTTGAGTAACAACTATGATCATTTTGATTTGCACATAGGTATTCCAACATGTTTTTGTCAAACGAATTTCAAACTTAAGGATGGATATAGTGTTTTCAGTACATGACAAATTCATATTTAAAGATTTAGATGTTAATGAAACTTAAAAAAGAATGTTAATTTAAACGTCATCAGTGGTTGTCGTTTATCGTCGCTGGGCTTCCAAAATGTAGTAAATTACTATTTTTTTCAACAAAAACAATTTTCACAAACAGGCTTTAAAAAATTGGTTGAAACGTCCAACTATCGTATGTGATTTGTGCGAGAAAAAAAAATTGGACATTTCTGGATAACACAAAAACTTATCTTATTTTCACAGAAAGAAAGAATGAAATGTAAACGGTTTTGATTCCCAAAGCCATTATACAACAATTTCCAATGTTACATAATTACATTACATGTATTTTACATTATAATACGTTATTTTGATTGGCTAACAGCAATCTCGTGTCATTCTGAAGTTAATCCTTCATTTCAAAATGAAATGTAATATTAATGATGACACGAGCCTCCACAATAAAGTGCACAGGTAAAATAAAGAAGTAAAACTTGATAAAAAACGTGTTTTCATGATCTTAGCAAAAACATGTATTGAATGCCCCTTTTAGTCATTTTATAGGGTTTTCAAAGAATTGACCGTGCGCACATTTTAGAATGAAGCGTTTCCGCGCTTCATACAAAATAATCTTCAGTCAACGATTTTACATCCCAATAAAATGTTAAAAAAGAAGCAGTCAATTCTTAAAAAAAATGTTGGGAATAAACTTTAAAACCAATTAAAATTGGCAATTTTGTAGCATGTCTTATTTCAACTGTTTTGATTGGTCTAAATGTATGATATTTAGGAATATCAGAGATTTCCTCCCGCCATGCCGGTTTATGTGATAAAGTAGTTCTAGCAAACAAATCATATACCACATTTTTCAAGCCCAGCAACGATATCATACCTTATTGTTTTTGTTCTCCTCTTTATTACAGAAACTGTTGTTGATTGTAGATCTTTGTGTTTATTGATTCAGAACCTTTTAAGATTCATAGTAGTTTTAGAACTGAACTGTCATATGGACATATGGACAAATGTTAACGAATGTGTAGACCACTTAGGTGTTTTATTTACATGTTGATGTTATTGTATTCTGTTTCATTTACATGTAATCCACGTTTATTGTATTATATGTTACATGTTGTTCATGCGAAGGTATGATCAAAATGAATGTCTTAAACAAAAGTTTACCATTCCCTGTTACTAGAGAAAAACACACAGGCAATATAAATGTAAATCTATTGGTGGCCTTGGCCTGTTTTTTGCTCTTTGGTCGGGTTGTTTTCTCTTTAACACATTCCTCGTTTCCATTCTCAATTTAATTATACTTAATGATATCACCGAATTTGTACTTGTCACGGACAACACGTTGGGTGCCACTTATTAGATCACCTGATTTTGGAAGGGTTCGTTTTACTTTATCGTTGGTTTTCTATGTATGGTTGAATAAACTTTGTCTATTAGTAGTTATTATTTCTACCTATTTTACGTACCATGGGCTTGAGTTTTGTCCAAATCTGTTCTTATGTAGAACTGCCAGAATCTATTCGTGGATATAACTGTCAGAATCTGTTCATGCTAAAACAGTTCTAAACAACGTAAATTAGAGCACTTTTCTTATTGTGATCTAGATAAGGAGCTTATTTACCCTGTAAGCCATTTAGAATAGATTCAACAGTAAAATAAATTTATAGTTCTGAAATTCAGTTCTACTTGCGTTTTAATGACATGTTATTCGTGTAATATAAACTAAACTTATTGTACACATACATGTATGACCGTACCTTTTGCTATTAATATTTTTAAGAACACGAAAGAAAGCAGAAATATATACTTCAACAAAGGAACAATACATAAACATGTTATAAATAAAACATAACTTTTTCAAGGATGATTATCAAATGTTTGTTCACATTCTGCCATAAATTAACCGCCTTGGTCTTAGAAAGACAAGTTCTGGTTACTATTCAAGGATAGATGCCACAGTCTTTATTAAAACTAAAAACTGTCATCAGTTTGGTTTGAATGTAATACCGTAATTTCCCAGTCAAATACAACTGATATTTCAGAAGTTTTTCTTATGAAATTAAGGCCATACATTTATAATTTATTTTATTTTTTACTTCTAGGGGAGAAAGGAAAGAATCGACGACACAGAAAACGTCTCTGGATAAGAATCTGTTATGTCCTGATTGTAACTTTCGCAATATTTTTGAGACAAAGTTTTGTGAATGCTGTGGGAGTACACGTAAAAACTAGTATGCGAATGTGTATATTTAAGGGTACAGTTTAGATTAAGAAAATGATTTATGCATGTCATTCCCGTCATACTAGTCGGATTTATGTCAAACTTCTGTTTTCCAGTCAATCTGATATATTTTCCATTTTTGATGTACAATAATTGAAACCCAAATGTCTTAAAATAAACACGATATCAAATTCGTCTTATAGCTAATATCTATATATCATTTTGAATTAAATCTAGATAAAATCATAGATATAATTGTTTATCGCCATTTGGTGTATTTTTCCTTTAATCTTTTTTTGTGATAATTTTGCATAGCATCCTACTCGCTAGAGATACAAATAATCAAATATAGAGACTGGTCGGTTCTGAGTCAGAATAAGGTGTCCGGATGATATGACATGTCTTCCTGCGGACTGTTACCATGTGAACTAGCACATGAAAATCCGGTTCAACGCGTCTGCCTATTACACAGCAGGGTTCATATTAAAATTGCTTTAATGTTCTGGTCCTGAGTATGCATTTATTTTGCTACTGGACGTTAAACATCCATCCATCCATCCATCCATCCATCCATCCATCATACTCAGAATATGAATAAATTATAAATCACAAAAAAAAACGCAATTAAAATCTTTCCAATGGAACACATAATACAATTTGGTGAATAAGGTATGATTTTCCCGATAATATGACTACACAGCCTGCTATTTTTTTCATTAATAAATCAAAAATAAAGTTCTACGTCTCCCTCCAGAGAGTGACGCTGGTTTTCAATCAAGGTAAACCTGTGAAACATCTATCTCATAATTTATATTAAGGAAACTGGTCATCATTGTACAGGACTTTCAGTCCTTTGTGTCGGAAGCTCTGTCACAATCTGATATAGACTGAGGGCAATGGTACCAAGTGATAAGGAAAACGACTCATTTACTGTCGTCCAATCTCAAATAAACCATTAAACAATTGCCAATGCCAGATTTAAAAAAATCCAACAGAAACAAACATTCGGTGCGAACAGAAACAACTTATTTAACAAACATCACTAGAAATAAATCTATCCAGATGGATTATGTTTTGATTTCAAATCCTCAATTTACCGTTGTTTTTTAGGAAGAAAATTGTACTGGCCTTATAAAAATGAGGAGGTGTGGTATAATGTATGATTGCCAATGATATAACTATCCGTCATAATTCAAGTAATATATATATATATAGGTCACAGTTAGGTATTTGACCATGATAATCACTCTTATCGTATAGTCAGCTATAGAAGGCTTCAACATAAATAAAAACGTGAAACAATTAAAACAAGAAACAACGGCCTTAAAGAATGTAGCGGAGTTTACACTTGTTAGCATGGGCAATGCCAGATTGTAGACAATTTGTTATTACATATTTAGTACTTCTGTGTAATAATAATTACGGATTCTAAATAATTGTAAGAATGTAAGAATTATGTTTTTGCTATTTAATTTCGAGTAACAAACTAAAAACCTTAAATACCAACAAATTAATCATCTACATGGTATTCCATATGCCTAGCATAATTTCAGTATGCTTCGAACGTTCTTTGATACGAATTCATATTGCTTATTGTCTTATACTTGACATTGTGATCTTTTCTATCTCTTATACCATTGTTTTAGGGGTAGCGTGCTAATTTTCTATTGATATTTTTTGTGTTTACCTTTATTTTCTTTCATGAGTCCACCGATTGAGTTTTAACGAAAAAGGTTGATACCCTTAAACGTAGTTCAAAAACACCCAATATTTATTGGCCTGTCATGTCTCTGACTTCATGTTTACTGTTAGAGAAGTTGGTGTTTATGCGGGGAATATAAATAGAAAGCGTTCGCCCGTCAGTTAGTCTCTCCGTTTATCCGGTCTTGTAAGCTCTTAAACGTGTACAGTTCTTGTCAGATGATTATGAGATTTGTATTATCAATGTGTTGGAACAAATTTTAAATTAGTTCTAAACAACAGTTTTTAAAGGAAAAATGTCTCATGGAAAAATTAATTATATAAAAAATTACACTGTAAGCGCTGTCACTACAGAAATAAGAAGATGTGGTATTATTGCAAATGAGATAACTATCCACCAGAGGCCACTTGACGTGAAAGTAAGCAACTCCCACTTATTTCCTGCAGGATTGTAATGAAATTTATGTCGATGTTTATATCAGACATGACTGGGACGAGTTCGAACATCACCACTCATATTCTGATATTAAATAATTTTTTCAGGAGTTGCCGCATCTCTCTTAAAATATGAATTATATATAAAATTGCATTGTACGTTCACTCAAGTGTACAATTCTTGCTAGATATTTATGACATTTATATCAAAGGTTATTATCAGCAATGTATCGGACGACATCGAAAATCAACGCAAATCAATTATTTTTACAGAAATTATTTCCATTAGAATGTAAATTCAATATTAAATTGCTGAGTACGCAAGTGTATAATTCTTGCCCGATATTTATGAAATCTATTTCAAATGTTTCTTTTTGCAATATCTCGGAAAAATTCGAAAATTATTTTTATTGCTAAGAAAAGAAATTATGTCTCTTTGAAATATAATTCATGTTGCACATTGCATTAATAGTAAACACCCTCACACATACATGTCTTGTCGAATTTTAATGAGGTTTATATCCAAAGCTGATATCATCAAGGTCTTCCGACAAACTATTTTACAGCAGTTATGCCCCTTGGAAAGAGAAATACATACGTAAAATAACATAATAATACATAAAATAATGCATTTCTCTAAAGATATATAGGAACGCTGGTCTTATATTATGTTAGATTTATTATATTAACATATTAACACATTTTACTTATGTATATACTTGTATTGCACCACTGCCCCATATAAGAGGGTTTGAGCACTCACAATGGATAGATGTAATATTGGAAGAAACCACATATCCTCATTTATATATCTATTAAAAACATGTAACTATAATGATAGCAGAAAGGAGGCAACTTTCAAATTCTACCCTCTTTATATATATAATTATATATTTTGGTTATTTTTATCTTTTAAATCAACACCACATATACTTTTATTTGTACCTGCAGATGTCGACTACTGTTAAAATAGAAAATAGAAAATCATATCTGCGACTATCTTATTAAATGAATTTAAGATTAAGAACGATCATTATAGATTTACAAAATACACATTTTATAGCGTTTGTTTATGATCTGTTTATTTAACCGGAATTTTAAATTCCTTTTGTAAACTACGTAGTTTAATGGTACGAGTATTTTTGTAGAAAATGGCACGAGTCGTCAGTCAAAAATGTAATTTGTGCAATGAAAATACCGGTACATTCTACTGTTATGAATGTAAACCAGCGTTATGTGGAATATGTCGTGGTCGACATGACAAAATCCCGGCAATAAAGGAACATACGATTACAGATATACACAGTGTTAACCATTCTACATTCAATAGTAAAACCCTCTGTTTAACACATGAAAAAGAATTTCTATGCTATTGTACGAAATGTCAATGTTCTAATTTGTGTGAAATGTATTGCATCTACTCATAAGGACCATTCATTAACAGAAATCGATGAAGTTGTTAGAAAGGAGAGCTTTAAGTCTATTGAATCAATGACAGAACTAACACGGTCACTTGAGTATATAATTAATGAAAAAGAAAAGATAAAATGGAATCATTTGGAAAGTTTCCATGCTGAAACTCAAAAGGCTTTTGGCGAAATACAGTCAGCTTTTAATCATTTAACTAAATTTCTCGAATCGAAGAGGAAGATAAAAACAACCGAACTAGAGGATAATAAGAAGATTGAAAATGAAAAAATTAAATGTACCTTTTCAAAACTGATTCAATATATAGAAAGTGTACACAACTGTGCTTTAGCATAGAAAACGTTTTGATGGAAAAACATGAATTAACCTTTTACTTGACTTATAACGCAATAAAAGATGAGATTGGAAAACTTGAATATCTTCCAGAGGAACCATATTATGCACAAGTACAACATTTTGATCGTAGATTGATGTTTAGAGACATAGAACATTATATCAAAGATAACCACGATGACCGTTGGAGATACATATTGTAATCATTGCGGCACTAGAGGCTCAAAAAGAAATTATCGCTTATAGATTATTAGACTTATAATTAAATGATTACTTGTTGTCTTTTAAGCATCCAATGGCAAATACGTCATACATATTCAGAACGAAAACAAGTTTACCCAGAAATCAGGTTAACAGTGGTGAAAGACATTAAGCTCATATTGCGTCTTGAAAAAGTAGTACACTGTTTGGTAAGAATATCAGTTTGCCGTGTAATAGTTTAATTATAGACCTCTTTTAAAAATTGTAATTACAAGGGTCTTTTTCTTAAGGAGAACGTTAAAGGTATTCCATCTTTAGCCTTTCTTGCGATCGTAAAATAAATATCACTAACGATATTCTTGCTAAAAAGTCAGTATCAAAAACAAAAATGCCATTAGCCTATATTTACTCTATAGTTCCGGTTCATTAATATATATAACTGTAGGAAGTTTGTGAAGTATGCATTTCTAAAACATTGTATCCATTTCAATATTGTAGCTCCTGTTCTGAATGTGTTGGAACACACAAGATCATTGAACAACTTAGAAAAACGAACAAAGAGCTTCAAAAAAACTTGTAGAGGTGAGACAAATGTGCTATTCTATTTTTACAATCCATTGCTTTGAACTTGTAAGCTATTTGTACCCACTCAGTAACTGCAAACAAAATCAAAATAAATTGAGATAAAAGACACATTTCAATGAGCTTTTAAAGTAGTATATCAATTATTGCTGTACTGATTTAAACGTATCATACTTTATTATCATAATTCATAATAATTTAACTTCACAAATGACACTTTTTTTAATCAAAGTCAATAAAGATAATTTAAAAAAGACTTTTAGGCATGTCTAAAATATATCAGACAAATACTATTTTGATCACTGAAATAAAAAAAAAATAAGAATAAATTCTAATAAAGCGAATGTTGACATTTGATTATTATTTTCTTTGACCAGGGGAAGTGTACATTTGATATGCAAGCATTTGAATATTTATATTTCAGGTTTCCAAAGAAAATTCATACATATTCAGAACGAAAACAAGTTTACCAA